AGACTGGGCATGGTTCAAAACTGAGTTACGTATAATATTTTCGAAATTTGATAACGTATCGCTGAGATATAGGTCATCGAATATAGCGAAAAATGCCACACATCAAATTTTTAAATGGCTATAACTCTGGTTCCTTTTCTGGTATCAAAATGATATTAACAGGGTCTTATAGGCAATTGATAATGCTTTGATTTTTAATTATAAAATTCAATTGAAGTGACCTTGAAATGCATTTGACCTTGAATTAAAACAGAAAAATTTAAATAGCAAAAAGCACGTCACCTTCGATTTGGGTAATTTTTACATATTATGTCCGTCACAATGTTCCTAACGATCTGTGAAAAAATTGGAGTGGGCCTTTCATAACTTTCGCGGCAAACGCCGTTTTCATGCATCAACATCACGCAACCGCGCGTGACCTTGAAAGACAGAGTCAAGACATGCTTGCTTGTGTACACTTTCTGAAATGAATGATTGCTGATTAGTGATATCCCAAACTCTGCGAGAATGGAAATGCATAGTCATCGTAGTCAAGCATTCACGTTCCATAGTATAAGTGTCTCAGGCAAACGGTATTTTGCGGTGAATTTTGAGCCGTGTGGAAATGCATCATGAAGTAAATTCAACGAAAACATTATCACGCAACGATATCTTCACGTCTTTTGATCTTCACTATACGAAAGAACATACATTTTTCAGTATGTATGGGGAATTTCTAGTTAATCCAATAATAAATATGGCAGTTAGAGGCCTGCTAAGAGTAACATGTCGCCGGCTGAGGCGGGCTCGGCCGATGCGGGAAACGCAGCAATCACAATTTTGTGTTTACACGTTCATATTTCAATTGTTTACCAACCGATTTTCAAAACTCTTTCACCATAAGATTGCCTGTACATTTCTTAGTTTTCTCACAAAATTTGACGCGAATCGAACGTAATCAGCGGTAGGGAGCGCGATGTAAAGACGGAGCCGTTCCGTTCCGTCCCGGCACAGTCTACAATTCAGGCGGCGCGTAGCGGTCGGCGCCGGCTGCCGAGTCGCCGCGTTGCTGCGGCGACAGGATGTTCACTTTACACCGCTATTACTAGAACAGTTGTGAGCCGATTTTCTCATTGCTTGCACGATGAGATGTCCAATTCAATTCTTGACAGGTAGCCATAATTAATTTCGCATTAATCTTATGAGATATTGGCGAAAAACAGGAGGGGTGGGCGAAATTCGTTCTTCCCCCTCCACTGCGCGTGCTAACATACGTTTGCATATGTGCAATTTTCTTCAAAACTTATGAATGGCCCACTCTAATTTTTTCACAGGTTGTTAAGAATATGGTAGGCAATAAAATATATGAAAATGAGCCAAATCAAAGGTGACGTGTTTTTTGCTATTTCAATATTTGTGCTTAAGAACAGAGTTAAGCAAATTTCAAGGTCATATATTTAAGTAGGTGCAATTCTAAACAAATGCTTAAGAAATTACCTAAACAGTAAGGTTTATTTCATTCAAATCAAACAAGTACAACCAAAGTTATGGTCGTTCAAAAATATAAAGATGCAACAATTTGCAAAAATTTGATGCCCTATATTTAGAAGACCTGTGGTCAGATTGTGCAAAAAATATCAATGTAATGTCCGGGGCCACACAGGAACTCGCTCACAAATTTATAATGAAATCGCTGATGGTAAGGTGCAAAACAGCCGATTTTTGTTCGATTTGACGTGGAATTGTGACCCTCAGTGACCTGACCTCTGTGACCTGAACTGGTAGGTATCAGTGACCTCAAATAGCAAAATATGTGTTTGACGAGCATTTCCCCACCAATGACTTTCAAGGAAATGCATTTTACTCGATTTTATAAAGCATTTCTTGAAATACCCATAAACGGTTAAAACTCGACCTTTGACCTGACCTGTGACGTCATCGGTTTGAACTAGGCCAATGAAATTGGGTCACAAGGTAGATCCCTGATGGGGCTATCCAACGCCGTTTGCCGCTTGTCGCTATGTTGCGTGCCGCGTGGTTCTCGAGATCTTAGGGGGGGGGCAAAATGCCCCCCCTATCAGACCGCATTGCTCGGCAGACCCCATCAGGGCGCGGGTTAACCTTCCAGGCGGTGGGGGGTGCTTTTTTGCCCCCCTTTAGTTTTTTCGATATATCTCGAGAACCGCTGCGCCGATCGTCACCAAACTTTCAGTACCCTCCCGGGAGCAGCTAGCGCACATGGTGACCAAAATTTTTTCCAAAGGCTATGATAGGTTGGCCGCTAATGACGTCAGAGTGACGTCATTTTTGCCATTTTCGACCCAAAAAAAGGTTTCGCGGGAAGAGCTGTCAGGCCTACAGCTTTAGAGATACAGAAAAATGTTTTTGACATAAAAGGTGTGGAATTAAAAGGGCTACAAAACTGTTATTTGGGTTTTTCAAATTTTTGGGATTTTGACCCCCAAAAATAAAAAAAATAGATTTTTCAGATATAATAGCCAAAAAATCCAAAAAGTTTTTCGAATTTCGAAAAAAACCGGAATATATGTGATAGTCCCTACAGCTTTCTATCTACATACCAAATTTGAGATCGATACCTCTTTTTTTGGCCAAGTTATAGCGAAAAAACTGTTCAAAATTGATGACGTCAAATTTTCAAACTCAATATTTAGCAATTCCAGACCTTGTAGCGCAAAACAAAGACCATTATCAGACTCCCCGTGACGAGCTGCATCGAATCGATACCCATTTTATGCAAAAATATCAACTTTGAAATTTGACCTTTTTTGACCTGACCTTGACCTGACCTCCACCAGAAAGTGACCTCAACCGTACCTGATGGTCTTATAACCAACACAATTGAGTTGGAAATGAAAAACTGGCCATAAAACTTGCATCACATAACTTTAGTAAAGTTGGGCTCATGTGGTGACCCTTGGTGACCTTTGATGACCTGACCTGTGACCTGACCTGGTATGACCAGTGACCTCTTATAGCAACATATGTACTAGACAACTGACGCCTTATCGCTGATTTTCGACAAAATGCGTTTTACTCGGTGTTAAAGCGCTTTCCCTAGAAGCCCCGTGAGCGGTGAAACATTTTATCTTTGACCTGACCTGTGACGTCATCGGTGACCCCGAGGTCAATGAAATTTGGTTTCCCTCGACAAATTTAACAGGGTTATCGAACGCCGTTTGAATTTTCCGGATCCGTCCAGTAGTTTCGGAGATACGGGGGGGGGCAAAAAAATACCCCCCCCCCCCCACCGCGCGGAAGGTGGCTGGTAGGCCCATCGCCTGCCGGGTTAAAAGGGTACCGTGCAAAAGTCAGTTGGGACCCATCTTGCACGTGCGCACGTGCAGAGTGCCGCTTCCAGATCTCGAGAACGGCTGGGTCGATAGTGCTCAAATTTGGCACATCGCTAGAGACCGGTTAGTAGGGTGCCATGCACATTGCACAAGTCAGCTGAAGATACCCCCTCGAAATTTCGCACGTGCTAGGCTCACCCTCTCGCTCGCTCCGTTAGTCGCCCCAAAAGGCGTTATACTTGTAGATTAAGACACGGAATAGCCACAGTGTACTGTGGAGTTGTCTGCCTCCGTCAATACATGCATACATAGGAGGGGGGGGGGGGCTATGAAAAGCCCCCACACCCAGTAGGGGCGTGTTATACGCAGACCCCAGTGGGGCGCGGGTTAACCCTCGCCCGCACATGCCATTTTCCCATCCTAGAACGCACATGGGGGGGTTGCCACCCCCCCCACGCCATTTCGTTCCTGTTGGAGATAGAGCTTAGCGGCAAGACCAAAAAGATTCTTTGGGAAGAGACAAATCCAATAATACCCAGTTTTACCTTCTCAGGTCAGTCATTGACCTTCCAGGTCAGGTCAAACTAAAAAATGTTGCTGTTTTGGGTCACCGTTGGATATCAAGTGCGCTGCTCACCATATACCGATGACGATACCGTTTTCTGGTGCCAAGCCAGCTACAACCTCTTTGTCACACTACCCGACCAGGTTTTTGCTGCTGAGGTCATTTCAGGTCAAGTTAGGTCAAGGTCAGTTATATGTGTTTGTATGTCTGTGTGTGTCTGTGTGTATACTGATGTGTGCACCGATTGTTTATGTGTCCATATTACATGAAATCATGATCTGAGAAGCTTTTACCAAAAATGCAGTCAAAAAACTTCACAAAATTTAAATTCAGCTTGCCTAAGACGCAATTATCTTAGATGACCTAGGTTGACCTTGACCTTGACCTTGACATCTGCACATCGTCGAACAACATGTTCGATGATAGGTGGGAGGTAAGACTGGCAAAAAAGGCCGAAATCAAGGTGTCAAAAGCTAACAAGGCCCATAGCCCCATAGCCAACACAAGATGTTGAGAATTGGCCATTTGGGTCATGACATGACCTGAAAAACAAGGTCATATCTCCGAAACCAAAAACCACAGAAACTTGAAATTTTCAGTGGACATCAAGAAAGGATAGAGGAGCAGCTATACGAAAAATCAGCCTTCTAGCTCTAAAAATGTTGAGTGCAGAGCAGAAAGACTACCCGGGGGTGGCAACCCCCCCCCCCCCATGTGCGGGCGAGAGTTAACAGCACGTGCGCACGTGCAGGGGCCGATTCCAGATCTCGAGAACTGCTGAACCAATTGCTCTGAAATTTGATATGTACATGGCTAGGGACCGGTTAGTAGGCTGCTCTGGAAAAGTCAGTTGGGACCCATTTTGCACGTGCGCACGTGCAGAGTGTCGCTTCCAAATCTTGAGAACGGCTTGGCCGATTGCGCTCAAATTTGGCCCATTGCCAGGGATCGGTTAGTAGCTCAGGGTGCAATGCAAAAGTTACCTACCTCGCAATTTCACACATGCAAGGCCCACCCTCTCGCTTGCTCCGTTGGTCGCCCCCAAAGGCGTTTTCTGGCAAAAATGATGCCACTCCCACGTGGTGCTGCGTAAGAAATTAAGGACTGATAACTTGTACCTATTTAGATCGAAACAACACCACAGCCACAAAACTGTTCATATGTATTCATTCTTCTCCTTATAACACGTTGTCAGTTGTCACAAAAGAAAAAAAAACGAGTAAGCTGTCACCAAAGCACCTGCCTCAGGCCACCTCGGCCATTAAGCGGCTAGAAGTACGCTGGTGGTTACCTGCCGCCATAATTCATGATGCTTCTATCTGGCACATCAAGAACCATTTTGATCCATAACAATCCCACCCAGTCCAGTTCCCCTCGTTTCCATAGTTTATGGTAGCGCAGCACTCATCGCTACACTGCGGATTGCCTCCAAACCAGTTAGTGTAGTTGTACGCCGATCCGTCCGTCCAGGTCCATGACGACGATGAGAATGCATACCCGCTCAGGCCCAACCAGGCCCAGTCGCCGTTCAGAAGATCCTGAGCGATGAAGGCATCCAGTTCCGCGTCATGAATTGAAACCAGGTCCGAGCCAGGAAACCTGGCTGGGCATGCAAGTGAAGCTCCATGCCAGGTGGGAGTGAAATCCGACCTCCAGTAGCACATGTCGCGGAACTGCTTCCATTCGGAGGAGGGACACGTGGCCAAGACGGAGGTGACGATGGCGGCCGAAAGGGCCAGACGTAGAGGCCAGCCCATTGTCGCTGGCTCCGGTGAACCTCTCTGGAGCCTGTGGAATAGGTTATAAGTGATATCATAAAAAATTGAGTTTATTGCTAGTCAGTTTGTACTATGGTTCCGGTGGGACGGGACTTTCTTCGCCGCGCTTAAGACAAAAAAAAAAACGGAGCGTGTTAGGCGCGCCATGGATTTGTTGCACCTGTGCCGCCTTGATTAAATGTTGTTGGGGAAAAGTTTCTAAAGAAATATTGGAAACAGATTTGAGTTTTTGGGGCATAAGTGACTTATCATTTCGGAGTTCTCAACCAAAAATGGCATATGGCTAAACAAAAATCTTATAAAATCATGGGCTGACAATACGCACATACCGTAAACGACAAGGCTCCCAAAACCCTGTGAAATCAACTAGTTACCTTTGACTATAATTGGTTTATGTCCTGTATTTCACAATATCATGATTCAAATCTGGGTAATTTTTCAAAATTACTTCACGGATGTGACACAAAATTACGGGTGAATTTACGAGATTTACAAGAACTTGCAAATCGATAGCCAGGTGTGGCCAAATATGCCTCCCCGTCCCCCACCCCACCACCATCCCAACCCCCACCCCCCACCATGGCAAGGTTGGCTGAGACACCCACCCAATCAACGGTTAACCCGCGGGTTAACCTGGAATAAGTAAACCTTTTAAAACCTTTTCTTACCTCTAATGCTCCTTGCAGAAGAATGGCGGGCGCCAAGCCCCCAAAGTGTTTTGAGCGTTCCCGAACAGTGGGACAGAATATTTATCGTGATTTGTCGCTAGTTATCAGCATATGGATGGGAGAACAGGTGTTAGTATTCACAGATGATGTGACCGTCCCCTCACCTCACAGGCTTGTCAGATAGAAAGCTGCGCCCTGCTCACTGTTTAGGGAGGGAGCATGTTTTTCAGCCTCCAGCTCTATCTTTACCACAGCCTTTTAAATTTGAGCATACCCTATTGACATCATTTAGGCACTTTCCGTACAATTACGTGGCTCAGATATTTAAGGTCAGGTCACCAGCTCAATAACCGGCACAGGGTAAAATTGTGATAGTTCCTGAACTCAATTATAAAGTTTTAGGATTGCTTCCGCTGTGTGTTTGTAAAATCTGTTCAACACTGTTTTAGGCGTTTCGCTACGATACTTAGTATAGGAGATGATCTTGTGGGGATTCGTTAAACCTCGCGGGCATAACTTTTTGGGGTTGCAAGGGATTGCGTTTTCGCGAGGAATAGCTTTTTGGGATAGGAGCTCAAAACTTTCAGTGTCATTTTCCTCACCAATTCGACATCCTTTGAAATTGAAAATTAGGATTTAATCCCCATGATGGCATCAGCCATCACATGGGTGGATTTTCAGACCCTTGCAGAGTAAAATGCGACGTCAAAGACATGGATTTTTAATTGCTGGCAAATAAAGGCTTTTATTGGCTTGTATATGACCAAGCAATTTTTAGGTTTTTTTTGTAGACCTTAGGCCAAAGTTCAGATCAAAAACCCCCAACTTTATTAACTTTATTCGAACAAATATAGTCTCAAAGATAGGGCAGAGATACTAGTGCATTGATCTTGCCTATATGCGTCAAATGACATGTATTTTGCTTGGAGAAGATCACGTTTATGTTGACCTTATGTGACCTCGAATGACCTTAGGTCGACCTTGACACATGGACCCTTATTAGATAGCTGAATTCTTATGGCTAACTTAGCCCCAGCATGACTTGGGGGCTCGAAAGATCTCTTCTCCCGTTTTCTGCAACATATTCTAAACCACTGAACGTACTCGTATCCACGCGAAACTTGCATACCACTAACTGCATCAATTTCACACCTTGTGTCTATCTATACCTATCAATTATCAAAAGATCCTAGCTACCATAGGTCGGCCGGAAATGATGTTTGAGTGACGTCATATTCGGCCGATTTTGATTCAAAACAATTATTTATGGCAATCGTTCTCACTTCTCAATAGCTCATTTTTGAAGCTAGGTATGATCCAATTTCTTTGCATGGTAATAGGTACTCAAAACACATTGCGCTGTCAAACTGCTGCCTCAAATTGTTTAACTCACGTTTAACTGTTGACAATTGGGTAAATGATATGAATAAAATCTCAAAATAAGAATTCTTGACTTTTCCATAAAAGTGTTTGCCTTTTCGAAAAAAGGTATCTGATTCAGTGGCCTCAGGCCTGGCCCGGATGGTTCTATTCATTTCCGAGCACCTAGCGACCATCTGTGGAAGCTGTACTTCATATCGATATCGTCTCGGTGGTAAGGTGACGCCACGGTCCGTGCTGCTCCGTTAGGTTCCATAGAGACAGCGTGACTGCAATTTGAAATCTTACAAATACCTAACTACCAACCTTTTTTACAGAAACGAAATTCAAAATTTGACCTAATTTTACCTGACCGTGGCTTGAACTAGTCTTTCATTAGCTGAAAAGGGCTTCAAAAGAAGGCTCAGACGATGCTATTTTCGAGTTATGTGACCCTTATGGGCTCTGTCCGTGTGAATCCTTCCATTTAAAAGGTTCGGACTAAATTTATTAAAAACGAACCAAACCATGTTAAATGTTTACGTACAGTGATCCAGGTATTAAGTGGTTGGTTGCCAAATGCCAACATCACAATAATCGATCTGAGGCCTCTTGCACCAAAATACCTAGCTAGGTAGAATCGGCAAAATACCTACCTAGTAAAACTACCTACGGCGGTAACTTCTCTTGCACCATCCTACCTACCTACCTAGGTAAATTTGACAGCTCGCGTTTTTAGGATTTGTTTTGATTGGCTGTTTGGCGACGAATTATTTGTGGGCGCAAACAAATAGTAACTAAAGAAAACAATTAAATGGATATTGTTTTTATTGATATACATTTTGGTATTATGAAATCATTCTTCATTTACGTAAATACCGATAGAAGTTATTTTGATATTAAATTACTTGAACAAATAAGCTTCGTTTCCATGGCAACGAGTGAGTCTTCAACCTGGCTGTTCAGTGTTCTGCTACGGAGGTTTTTCGCTTTGGTACGGAGAAGCACCTCTGTGAACCTATGGAGCATTTGGTCAATTATTTTATTATTCACTGATAAAACATTGATTTATCATTGTCTAAACATTTTGTAATGCCTAGTTTACATAAAAGTACCCGTGGATTATCATGTATTGTGCCTATTGTTACTAATTGAATCATTTTACCTAAGCTTTTGCTAGTTATTTTGGAAGCCCGCGTTTACCGTCAAAACGTCAAAAATTCCTCCGCGAGTACTTCTTTCCGGCTTTCGGTGCAAGAGGGAAAACAGCCGGTCGGGCTTTAACAATTGGTAAGTTCTTATGCCGCTCGGTAGAATTTCTAGGTAAATTTTCACGGTAGCGTTTTTTGGTAGGTAGTTTGGTGCAAGAGAATCTAGGTATAATCTGAATTTACCTAGGTAGGTAGTTTGGTGCAAGAGGCCTCTGCATTGATGAATACGTCTAATGGCTGTTGAAAACCATTGCAGAAATGTGTACACGAACCCTCTTCTAATTTCTATTGAGTTATTTTTCAGGAGCGTCTCTGTCATTTAAAGTTATTACACCAAAAGCGCAAAGGCTAACCAACCACTCGCGGTTGGTTAGCCTGGTTAGCCTAACCAACCGCGGGTGGTGAAATACCCAAGCAACTGCCGGGCTTATTCTAAATGCCATCCATGTCAATGCAAGCATCATAAGCATATAGTTGTTTCACTGATGCTGCGTCATTTATTTAACCCGCGCGGGGCTGGGGGGAAATTTTACCCCCCCCCCCTCGCGAATTTTTGCAATATCTCAAAAGGATTTTTTGAGAAAATGACGTTTTAGTGACGTCATGTTCGCCATTTTCGTCTCAAAAACGGCAAAATTTCAAACGCCGCTAACATCTTCATTTTTAAGGGAATCAAGACGTAACAAAAAAGTGTATACGTGATTCTACTTTGTCTATCAAATGGCTACCTTGGCTTTTTTATTTTTTTTATTTTGGCCAATTTTTTTCTGCAAAAAAGCTGACTTTTTTGGGAAAATAATTATAAAATCCGAAATTTTGCGTGTATCGAAAAAAAACGGAATATATGCCAGAGAAGTGGTCCATGAAACTTGCAATTTGTACCCTTGACCTAACCTTGACCTTGACCTCAAACTTTAAATTAAGTACATGTTTTTAGTTGTTCGTGATGCGATCTTTCGATTGGCGTTTGCATTTTCCAAATCGGACCATTAGTTCGGGAGATAACAGGGGGGTAAAATTTACCCCCTCCCCAGCCCCGCGCGTTCGGCTGGAGAGTGGAGACCCCAGCCCCGCGCGGGTTAAGACAGTTCCTTAGGGAAAGTGATGAATGTTACTGTAAGCGCCTTGCGGGCGCTTGAGTTTTTATTTGCCCTTATTTTAGTGTTTTTATGTTTTGCGCCTTTTCGTTTCCATATCAAGATTTATTTGTGACTGTTTGGCGGGCGGGCGCTGCCGCAGCGGCGGCTGCGGCCAGGGAGCCGCCTCGTGATTGGCTGTGGATGCGGGCGCCACGTGATCCTCGTGATGACCCCGGGCGGTATCACGTGACCGGGCCGACCCGAGGCGCGCAGCTGCCGGGAGCGCGCAGTCTGCATACCTAGATGTCTTTTTACGCGTGTTCGGAGTGTTGTGCTGTCGTCGCGGGACGCGGAAGGAAGATAACCTCGGTAAGAAAAGATGTGCTGACATGTTGACATTTTGTAGCGCTCGCCTGCCTGAATTTATGTTCATGCTCATTTGTATTTGTTTACCTTTTATTTCCTCGGTTTGGTTTGGATGTTAAAGTGTATGTTTGTTTATTTTTTCTTCCAGTCCAGAAACCGTTTCGTTTGCCTCTAATAAACAAAAAGAGCAACGAGCGCGTTTCCGAGATAAACTTCGGACCTGCGGCGGCAACAGTTACCAATACAATACAAGGCCAATACAACGACATTCAAATATTGTATTCGGACGTTGATACCTAGTACCCAGGGTTGTGCTTGACTCATGAGTCGAGTCAGAAATTTGACTCAACTCTGACTCAAATGAGTCAGATTTGAGTCGAGTCAGATAAAATGTTGAGCTGTTGAGTTGAGTCAGAGTTGAGTCGGGCAAAAATATTAAGGTGTTGAGTTGAGTCAGAGTTGAGCCAGTAAAATAACTTTTGACATTAAGTTGAGTCAAAAACATTTAGGAACATGAGTCGGCTGACTCAACTTTCTAGAAACAATATACATATGTACAGGGTCTTTTATAATGAATGTTACTTTTGAACATTTAGTTAGGAGCTCTTAATTTATCACTTCCGCGTGAATTTTATATGCATATTGTTGCAAATTGATTAGGGTTTTGTTCCAAAAAATAAAAAATTCACAACGCCAATTTTCTTTCACGCAAAAGTAGAGTATGTCGACACCACCAAAACGCATTACGGATTACGGTCGACGGACAAGTCTTCAGCCATTGGCTCTCCACTGGGTCAACACTGAACGGGGTGGCTTACCTCAGGCTGCTCAAGGAATGCTTCTGCCTCAGGTCAGGGACAAGGTTCAAAGAGACGGCCTGTGGTTCCAGCAGGATGGTGCCACAGTGCACACCACGGCAGCTGTTGCGCCAGTGGCTGATCGAAAATTTCGAAGAGCGCGTTATCAGCCGCCTCACCGAGCGACCATGGCCACCACGGAGTCCTGACCTCTCCCCGATGGACTACTGGCTTTGGGGAGTCGCATTGGCTGATCTGAGACAAAACCCTCCTGCAGCCATCCACTGCGAACCACAGTGGAAGGGTTTGCTGGAAGCCTGGACCCAGACGTTGTGAGGCGCGGGGTGCGACACCTTCATCAGAGGGCCGAAACGTGTGCCTTAATTAAGGGCGATCAGTGGAAAAATCCTGAGGAGTATTAAAATGAAAGCTGTGTGTGCAAAAACGCTAATGTGTTTCTGTTTCATGTGATGGTACATATTACATGAGGAACATATATGTCCTGAGAAATAGCTCTTTCAAAAGTAACATTCATTATGAAAGACCCTGTATATATATATATATATATATATATATATATATATATATATATATATATATATATATATATATATATATATATATATATATATATATATATATATATATATATATATATATATATAAGCTTTTCATTCTCCCCCCGCTTAACAACTTAGGCCTGGCCCTGCTGCCAGATTTTTTTTCACCCCCCCCCCTGCTCAACAACTTTTTTACCTTAGTCAATTTTGAGTCAACACACTTGACTTAACAAAAAATTTGAGTCAAGTTTGAGTCAACTCATATTTTTATTGAGCCGCTTGAGTCATGAGTCGAGTCAAGGGAAAAAAATCAGCTCCTTGTTTGAGTCAGAGTTGAGTCAGGGCTTTCTGAAGTTGAATGATGAGTCGAGTCGGCAATTTTTTTTAAGTCGAGCACAACCCTGCTAATACCTACTCAATTATTTATGAATAAAATCGCACAGCAATTTGATTTAGTGACAGCATTCACCAAACCTATGCCTTAAACTGACAAACAAAGTTGAAACGATCATCGCTACAGCCGAACCCTTTCCAGGCGATGGTAAGATAGTTCATAATTGCACAGCACTCACCCTTAAAACAATCAGGGTCGCCCCCAAACCACAGACTATAGTCGAACGGTGACCCGTCCGTCCAGACCCAGGGAGCGTACTCATCAGCTCGACGCAGCCCCAACCAAGCAGGTTCATGGTCAAGCAGGTCATCAGCAAGAAACATGTGCAGTTCCAGGTCATGAATCGATACCAGCTCCGAGCCGGCGAACATTGACGAACAAGCTTCCTTCGCCTCTTCCCATGTCTGTGTGAAATTGGAACGCCAGTAGCACATGTCCCGGAACTGCTTCCATTCGGAGGAGGGACACGTGGCCAAGACGGCGGTGATGATGGCGGCAGCCAGCAGGGCCGGCCTCAAACTCCGGGACATGGTAGATCGAACTAAGAATAGTGGAAAGCCGATGCCCACAGACAAAATATGCGATATGTTGGTGGTCTGCGAAACATGGGAGGTTAGGATTAGCCTCTTCGCACGATACATATTTTGCATTCTGTATTATCGCTCTGCAAAGCGAAATGCAACACGCCTGACAAATATAAACAGACGCAGGTGACATGCAACGTCTAAGAAAATTCGGAATGTGTCCAATACAAACGTCTGTGAACTGAAGTTTGAAGTGATTTCACACGAGTGACTTTAGCACAAAGCTTGATAGAATTAGCTGAAAAAATTTCCTGCCGGAAAAACATCAAAACGGATTTTGTTGCACAGTAAAAATGATGAAAAACATAAAATAGGCATTAGGACTAAATCGCAATCACTATGTCCAAGATCCTAACGCAACTCATCACCTGAAACATCTCTCTACTCACTTGCAAACGACCTTAAGGCCTGGCGAGAAGTACGCTGTCAGCTCAGCACTAGTCAGCGTGGGTCACGGCTGCTATTCAACATGGCTGCTATCAGGCGCCTGTGATAACATATGTCGATGTTCGCAAGTGAATTTGGACAGACAGCACACCTGCTGTCGTTTTCCGGTTTCGGAAGAGGCTGTGGCGCCACTCCTGACGTTTTTATTTCGCAGTTGTTCAGCACTGAAAGAGGGTAGCTAAAATATGACATATCTGGACTTTTATTCTGACCTTTTTGACAACTAGCTCATCATGCAAAGATATAAACAGGCCAAAAAACGTGGCTCGTTCCAAGCACTCGCAGTATCGGAGGTTTTCGGAGGGAAAAGGAAACTATCAGAAAGTAGAAATATCCGGGCTTTACAACTTATGCAGGTCAATAAGGTTCAACAGAGGTCAGTGCCTTCGGTCATGTCATTTCGAATTACACCTAACTCAATGGGGAAAGACGGCAACTGCGTATTTTGCGTTTTTATTAGTTACCAGAATTCATAACCACTCGGGCGTCAAACTGTCCTACCTATCGAGACCCGTGATCAGCTGTTCTTGAAAATTGAGACGGGACATCAAGCGCCTGTGATCAAGTAATCAAGTAGGTGTGGTCGACTGGTTAGTGTACCGGAAGATGTCTTAGATGTGTATTTTACTTTGTGGTTTCACTTCTATCCGGTTTTACTGCAGTGTTTTATCCAGATGTGTTTTCGCATGTATACGACGTGGTCACCACAAAACCCATGTAATGGAGGGACCTAATAAAGTTGTATTGTATTGTATTGTATTGGACAAATAGTGTCGCTGACGTATCGTGAATGGACTGAGTGTGTGAAACTGGTGACAAGAAGGTATTTAGTATTCTTAGAGATTTGCCTTTTCCAAGCTATGCTCAATCATGAATATAAATATTGCTCCATTTCTGCAACTACCTTGTATTTAGTGATCTCTTGATTGATCTAAAAGTGATGACGCATTCTTTGGCAAATATATTTCTCGCATGAGAAGATGTCTTGGCGAATGTTTCATCTGAGATAGTACTTGAAGTCATTTACCACGCCTCAAGCTGACACATAAAGAGACGGTAATGTCCACTGCAGCTCCACCCTGTCCACTCCCCCCTGCTGCCGTAAATGACAGCGCAGCCCTCGCCGCTCCAGTCTGGATCTCCGCCGTGCCAGTTGGTAAAGTTGGTCGGTGACCCGTCGGTCCAGACCCAAGGGGCCGAGTCACCGGCTCGACGCAGTCCCAGCCAGGCACGGTAACCACCAAGCAGTTCCTCAGCAATGAATGCATTCTGCTCCAAGTCGTGAATTGAGACCAGATCCGAACCGGGAAACATTTGCTGACAAAAGTTTTCTGAATCCTCCCAGGTCACACTGAAATTGGAATGCCAGTAGCACATGTCCCGGAACTGCTTCCATTCGGAGGAGGGGCACGTGGCCAAGGCGGCGGTGATGATGGCGGCAGCCAGCAGGACCGGCCTCAAACTCCGGGACATGGTCGATCGAACGACGGATGGTCGAATGCCGATGACACAGGCGAAACGTGCGAGACGTTGGTGGTCTGTGAAACATGATAACTTCGGTTAAGGTTGAGGTCGGTTAAGGTCAGGTCATGTCAACCAGTAAGGGCCGGGTATTCGTAGTAGGTATAAACCGCCTCTGACGGCTTCGTAACATGTTACGAAGGCACCAAAACTACTTCGTAAATGTTCAAATGGTTGCTAACTTCGAATTCAGCTCCAGAAAACAAGCCTTGAAACACGTAAAACTCGAAAACGTGAACCGAGGTCATCCAAGATCAATGACCTGACCTGGCCTTCCGGTGACCTTGACACCCACCATAATGCATGGGAGCAAACTCATACCCCATGTTTGAACGCTTGAAACCACGAAAAGGCTGCAAACGCGCGGCTATGGCGAGCCGACATACGCCGAATCGCGATTCCGGCCAAATATGGTCTCGAAAATTAGGTCACAGGTCAAAGGTCATTACTCATTAGGGTCAGGGTCATGAAATGTTCAGGGTTGGGGTCGGGTTGATTAACGCGAGGGTACTGAAAGTTTTTTTTTAGTCGGACCTCTCTCCAACGGGCTCGTGTCCCAATTATAGGAGAGAGCACCTGCTCCTCCCTCTGTCCTATTCACCACCCCCAGGCTACGGCTGAAGTGGGAGCCTACCCCACACCTGGTGACGCAGCCGGGGACGACGCCCGCGGAACGGGCGGAACCGGAACCGGTTTCGTTGCGATCAGCCGCTTTTTACGTGAGTTATTCGCAAAAAAAGACCTAAGGGGGGGGGGCGTTCGACCCCCCCCCCCGCTATACAGGCGAGGGTTAAAGCGATCTTTCAGTCTGTGTAGCTGAAGTGAGTATTGAAACTTTTTCTGATGTAAGGTCGCTGGACGTGACATGGTGACCTGACCTTAAACCTCGCCGGCCGAGGGGGGGGGGGCGGGTGCCGCCCCCCATAGGGTTTTTTTCGCGATAGCTCCGAACACGCTGGCGATAGAGAGCTGAAACTTGGCATACCTGACCTTTGATCCAAGCCAGATCTTTTGACACCAACCGCATTTTTGGGTCAGGTCAGGTCACTGACCTATGACGTCATAAGTGAACCTCTGCACGGTCTTCAGATGTCGCAACTTCGCAACGCCCTCACTGCCAGAGGAGATGTCACAGGGAAATGAAACCTGCAGGATCTAGTATCCATTATGAGTCCCACAACTTGTACATCTCGGATTTTTCCTAAAAGTCATATGAGGTCAGGTCATTTTCGTGACCTCACCATTATAAGTCAATGGGGAAAAATGAAAACTGCTATTCTGGCGCCGGGAACGATCTCCAACTATCTCAAGCACACAGAATCGTGATTTGATGCACTCCTTGCAAGGTTCGATGCGTCACTTTTGCAATGTTGACCTTGCGTGACGTCATTTATGACGTCATCAAGGTCATATTAGTTTTTCGTCAATAACTCTTGATCAAATTGAGCTAGCGAGTCGGGAAAGCCACCAATGGACTCAGGAAGACCTGCCGAATCGAATGATATGCGACATGACCTCTTTCCACCAACATCGTGACCTGGGGGTGCTGACCTGACCTTGACCTGAGGTCAACACCCCAAGTTGACCTGACCCGGACAAAAAGTATATCATTCGACGCGCCTGAGCGAGCCGAACACGATGCTGCCAAAATCGGCGCTCTGCGGCCGTTTTTTGCGAAGTTATTCACCAAAAACTGAACCGTACCTTGGGGCACTTGACCTGACCTCAGAGGTCACCGGTTGACCTAGGACCTTAAAATCGGGTACCAATCTCTGCGTCTCGTAACGGCGCACACGCTCGTTTTTTCCGCGACGCGCTAGCTCCATCAGGGGCGAAACGGCGAGGGGGGGTCGTACCCGCCCCCCCCCCCCTCGGCCGGCGCGTACGTAGAAAACCAATAGGTCCGGCGAGGGTTAAAAGACTCGAGTCTGAAATTTTCAAAACATGTGCAGACAAGATATATGAACAGGTGTGCCAAAAACCGCTGCGCTGTGCGCCGGCTGCGTTGTGCGCCGTTTTTGCGATATTCACAAAAAGCCTGAAGGGGGGTGGGCGTAAAAACGCCCTCCTCAGCACGGAGTGGTTTAAAACACAATAAAGCGCACGTCCATCCTGAAGTAAGCTTCTGCTATGGCTGGCCATTGGGTATAAAATTCTGGTCCAACACTGGAGTACCTTTATTTGTCGCTTTTATTACTGTTTTTATCACATATATCAAGTGTTTTACTGGTGTGTCTTTATTCATTTATGTGTATGACATGTATGACGTGGCCATGATCTACGCAGTGGGGGTGCCGAATAAATATCTGTATCTGTATCTGTAAAGACAATCTTGGACGCTGCGGGGGGCATACCCCCAAAAAAAGTTTCTCCAAATTCCAAAAACTCATCGGATTTCGGTTTATTAAGCACTGCTACGCATTTTAAAACACACTTTTTCCGATAAAATTTGTTTAGTTTTCATTTTATTCCTCAAAAACCGCAAATTTTCGTCGCTTTCGGGCGCTGCGGGGGGCATTTGCCCCCAATCCCAAATGCCCCCCCCCCCTGGATCCGCCAGTGGTCCGAGAAGCCATAGAGGTCAAGCTAACGCCACAGGCCACTATGAACCTTGACGAGGGCGGCGTCCGTTTGAGCCCCATATGGCACATTTCCTTAACCCGCGCCCGGCTGGGGGTCCTGGATTTCCACGCACTGCTGGAGGGGGGAGGGTGTTTGAACACCGCCCCTTCTAACTCGGCTCCTGGGCCACGCAGCGATCGCGGAAGGCGGCGTTCGAAAGAGCGCCAAAAATAATGACGAAATCACTTCGGTCACTTTTTTGGTCAGGTCAAAGGTCAGGTCACCAGAGGTCATTGAAGGCAAAATTTCGCCGATTCCCAGGTCGAATGTCGACAATTTCCAAGAAGCCAACGCATAACTCGGAAACTAATAGAGCTACAGCGTCACGAAAAAGCGCATTCGATAGCCCTATTAACACCCTTTCTGAATAATCTCTGAGATTTAACCTAACGTCAATGATTTTGCCTGCAGGGGGCAAAAACTGCAAAAATAGCCGATTTTTTCGGAAACAGTTTTTCTGCAATAACTTTTGACCCAAGCCTTGTACGAGCTTTTTTTACCGGCATCGTGTTCCTCTCGTCAAGACGCATCGAATGAACTATAACTTGACCTTAAAAGGTCAACTTGAAAATTTGACCTTAGGTCAAGGTCATGACCTGACCGGAAAGGGTCATGTTACATATCAGTTGACCCGTATCGTCGAGCTGAACACATCTAAGGCGTTGTCATCGCTCTAGCTTGCCTCTATCAAAAGTTATTTGCGAAAAATTGTTAGATACCATTCGTGACCTAAGATGACCTCAGGGTCACGGTCACCATTTTCATGTTCAGTGTGTCTTAACCACTTGTAATTCAGTGTTAAGGAGTATTTATGTCTTTCGTCCAAAAGAGGCTCATTTCAATTTTCTCCCATTGACT